CATCAACAATGAGTGCACTACCAAGAAATGAAATTGAGAATTCAATGGCCCCAAACATCTCGTGATCATTAGCATTTCAAAGAGTACCTTCACTATCAAAGGCACGGACTCGAAGCGTGGCAAGCCCATCTAAGTCAAGCTTAATGGAATTATGAAATATCTGAATTCTGGAAAGTTTGTCAATAAACACTTTGCAGCGAATCACAGCTCCAGTATTTACATCAGCAGCGTAAACAGCAGTCTCCTTTCGACCACTATAAGGAGCAATTGATCTCAACCGCGCACTTGTTGAGCAGTGACTAGTTGAATTATATTCGGGCAGAACAGACAGAATATCGTGATGATCCCATGACCTGCAAAAAATTTCATACAATTTTAAATAAACGTTTTACCAGAAACATCAATTTTCCAGGCATTGGTAAAAAAAAAAAGTAACGAACATATACATACATATGTATGTATATATATATTTATATACACACACAGATACACACATATGTATGTATATATATATTTATATACACACACAGATACACACTGTGGCTTACCATTTGAAGCAACCATCACTTCCCTGAAGCCTATACTCGACCGGATGAGTCATTTTGGGAGGCAGCAGAATATTGACGTCTGCAATGTGTGGACCAGAGCTCAAATGCGACGCCGTTTGGTCCACCATGAGAAGAAGAAATAAACCGAGCAATACAGTGTAGCTCAACATCTTCCAGCACACTGAGTCTATAGAAAAGCACGAAGTTTCTGCTTGACAGAGCTTTGCATACTAATGAAACTCGGCAAGCTTGAGCAGCTGAGCTTGCGTTCGAAATGAGCGATCATAGACCACTCGGAATCAGAAATCAGGGGTTTAGGGTTTTGGGGGTGTCAGCGCTGTAAAGAAAAATTGTGAGGGAATATACTTGATTCAGGGGGTGTGAAAACGTGGCCCCAAGTGATTGGTGGTGAGATTAATAACTGTCAGATTAGTGGAAAGATATCGAGGTTTCTGTTTTATTTTGGAGGGAGTGGATGGCCACCGAGTCACCGACC